GGCTGCGACGCGACCGCAGACGCTAGCGAATCGCGAGTTTCGCAAAGTCTGACATCGGCCTTCAAGTGAGGCGATAACGGGCCGCCTCTAGAAACATAGCCTCTTGTTCCGCTCCAGAACAGCGTGGCTAACTACCTGGAGGTCTATCCTACCCCCCCCCCCCCGACAGAGCCTGACAAGGTACTAGTGGGCAATGGATATGCCGAAAACAGTAATGGGCCTCATCGATCTCAATGACCAGAATGTAAGACAATATTGTTTCCACAGGTCATGCGCCCGCTCCCTAGCCATCGAACTTCACTGATTCCGAGAATGTCCAATCGATAGCCTTCGAATTCCCGAGCAGTTGCGCGAGATTTCCAGTCTGATTCAACGTGTGCACGTTCCAAGTAGCAATGGGTTTTATTTTTAGGTGAGGAAACCGAACTCCGAACCTGGAGGTTATCCGCCATCAGGCGGAAGTTAGGCTCCCTCGATAATAAGGCCGATGTCAGACTTTGCGAATCGCGCGATTCGCTAGCGTCCGCGGTCGCGTTGCGGTACCAGCCAATTGAGTGATTCACTGGCCGCGACGCGACCGCAGACGCTAGCGAATCGCGCGATTCGCAAAGTCTGACATCGGCCTAAAAGATAAGTGCCTTTTGGGTTTTTTACGGCGGAAGGGTTGCTAGCCCTCCGCAGCAACTCTTCGGGCTTGGAACCGGCAACGGCGGAGTTCAACTTCAACATATATGTACGGCCAGTCTGCGGACGGCCAGGGAATTCCACAGACTCCACAGTACAAATGACGGCGGCCGCCAAGTAAATCTGATAACAGGTGGTTCACACGGGAAGCGGTCAACAGAATCGTCCGAGAGTGGCGTCGCCGCGCGCGGCCACTTACGCGGCGTCGCAACGCGGCACCCAACTTAAAACCATCCGCGCATCAATTGAAACCGACTATTAAAGGGACGGGTCGAATTGTCCCTTCAAATTCAAATGACGTACGCAGAAACTCATCCACTGCAGTCGCGACGTCGCGACCACGACCAGTAGCGAAGGAACAAGGACGATTCTCTTGACATACACCCGGTTCACACTGGTTGTTGATAGTTGATAAATAATAGTTGGATCAGTGGCAATTAATGGAGTGCAAATGCAATCATACAGCTTGCAAAAAGCTGAATGATTGCATATTGTGGAGGCTGCCACAAGTCTACAGTAAACATACATAGAGGTGGGCGCCGTATGCAAAAGTTACGTATTTACAAGAACGAATGCTTGTCAAAAACGACCAATCAAATCGGAAATTAAATTTTACGCCATCCTTCATTCTGAGTTTGAAGCATGATTCAAAGGTTTTGAGATAAGCCGTTTGGACAGAGCGAGCACCTGAAGTAAGGCGTGAATTACGACGTTCCTGCCGCAATCACGTACATTGCGCAGCGACGCGCTTTCTGCGGTAGCCATTCTGAAGGTCATGCCAACAACGACGCTACCCCTTCGGTCCAGGGCAGCAATCCAAAAATGGTCGAGCGTCGCAGCGTACGCTCCGCCGCGCGGGCGGGAGCCTGAGCGCGCGCGAGCGTGTGTCCATCCTCCACCTCCTATATGAACGGCGCTTAGTACAGTTGGCGAGTTTGCTCGACGCGTTCTCTCTTCGTTGAGAGCGCAGAGAAAACGAGGGCGAGCACACGTTTCAACGCGTCAATGCGTCGCGCATTGTACGTGACTACAGCAGAACAATATAATTCACGCCTTACTTCGGGTGCTCGCTCTGTCCAAACGGCTTATCTCAAAGTTTTCATAATATTGTCTTCGGCGTAAATACACACAAAGATAAGAGGGGGTGCTGTAGCACTCGATGGTCTCATGGTCAGGCATTATTAGGAGAGTCCAGGAAAGCGGAAAATATGCGTTACACAGCCTTTCCGAGAACCATTGTCATGTTTGATATCAGAATTTTGAATGAATCCTGTATATAGGTTTACAGCGGATCCGTGGATATGGCAGTCGTGACAAAATGGAAGTTTCGACGAAAATAAAATTTTGGGACTTCGGCACAGGGTCAACCCTATCATTGGTGCTTTTTGGAATTTTTAATACTCCCCCCCCCCTTAGGGCGGAAGTGGTGTAGTGGCAAGTGGCACGCTTACCACGCGAGCGGTCCGGGGATCAAATCCTGGGTCGTGAGTCGCCCGGGCCAACCAAGCCTTCCATCCCTCCGGGGTCGGTTAATTGGTACCAGACTTGTCTGGGAGGATAAAAACACTGACTTGTACATCGGCTGGCCCCCGCAAGTCATTGTATAGGCCACATCGCATTCAAACGCCACTACGAATGTACAAATGGAAGTAGAATGCGTGCCGCATCCCAAAAAGGGATTGATCAACGGCAAATGCTTTATCCTTTATCCTTATCCCCCTTAATGGGCAATTTGATACGACCCCTCTGAGACCCGAAAAAGCAATAGATGTAATAATAGGTGCATGATATGAAAACTAGAGGTAGCTTGGTCCGTCTTTTTCGCCTTCACAAAACATCAACGCCCAAACTTTCCGGAAAGTGGTTGGAGGACTTCAAAGGCTTAGAGACTTACTGCGCCTCAATAATAATAGGCGCCGAGAGGAACCGCATGCCGCACATCTTGATCACAGAACTTCTCTATGGACACCGTTTCCACGAACATTACTATCGAGAACCTCAGCCATGCCAAGAAATCGATGCTAAGTTTAGAATTTTGTCAGCTGACATCCTT